CTCACTCACTCACTCACTCACTCACTCACTCACTCACTCACTCACTCCACTCACTCCACTCACTCACTCCACTCGCTCACTCCACTTTGCATCCTGCTAGCACTGCCCGCCGTGGTGGGGATAAGACCACTTGATAGCTTTGATGGTGGTTTCGAGTGTGTTACGTTTTGAAGGTCTCATGCGGATCTGATCGCAAAATCCAGAGCCTCCAAACTTCTCTCTCCGCCTCCTTCTCTCTCTCTCTCTCTCTCGTCCCTCTCATCCTTGTTCATCACATCATCAGACACTTTATCACACACCCACACACACACACACACACGCACGCCATCTTACCACACACACACACACACACCTCCTCCCTCCCCTCCTTCTCATCCTCGTCCATCACATCATCATACTACACGTCTTAGCACAACCGCCTCATATACCTTCTCTCCTCACACTTCGTTCTTGACTTTTCATCTCACTACTCCGTCTCCCATGTGATGTTCATATACATTTGAAATTTGTAAAACTTATCATATGGGGTTATCCGGTCCTTTTATTTTCACCAGGATCGTGGAGCAAATTTGTCCTTCCCGAGCATGTCCAGGCCGAGCAGTGCCGAGTGGTGTCAGCCACTGGAAGAAATACTGTTATGAGTTATAAGCAGACACTTTTTAGCATTATCATATTAAAGGGGAGTTCAAGATTGCGGGTTCCTGTCCAAGAGACAGTGTTCCTTTTTGAGACTTCCACGAAAAGTGGAGGGAGCAAAACAATCACATGACATAGATGTTTGTTGTTGGCGTTTAGACATTTTCCCGTTCCACCGAATCTTCCAGTTAAATGGTTTAAGGGATTGTACTAGGAAGAGCGAGCTTCTGTGTTGTGTACTGTACTCAATAGCCTCCAACCTAATTCTAATGGCCTCCCACCTAATTTCGATGGCCTCCAGCCTAGAACCAATGGCCTCCAACCGAATAGCGATCGCCTCCAACCTAATTATGTTTTATTGTTTCATATTGTCTTCGTGTTTTCCGCAATCGGCTTTCCTGGCGTGACACGTTTCTCGTTGTTCCGTATGTTGTCATGGTATGCAGTGCTGTGCATATATCTACAAAGACTACGTGTCGGGGGTGGTGTGAGAGGGGATGGGGATGGGAGGGGATGGGATAATGAGGTTTCTGTGGATACCTACGTGTTTTTTACGTTTCTTGTTGCTACGTTGCTGATTGTCAAGGAACGCAGGTGGACTTGCATGTACACAGGGGAGTAACCTGATTACCAACACTCCGAAGGCTTTCCTTGAAGCCTGGCACCGCACGTGAAACACTTTTCGGCCACTCGGGTGATTGTTTCCCCATGACCCAATTGCAAGCAAGACATGAAACCAGCTCGTAGTACGAATGATGGAAGACCAGATCCTTTAGAAGGAGGAAACTGTGGGACTTTGGTAAAGAACTATTCGAACGGCACTCGTTTGAACTACGAGGTGCCATCCAGTAGTCAAGTGGTTCTATCATTTTTCCACAATCAATGTCAATGTACTGCAAATACCAATCGCAAATTCCACGTTTACCTGATGCTTCACTCCGGTTCAGTGCCTTTAAGATCAAGAAAAATTTGATTTGCGACACTCGTTTGCCTCTCCGAGTCTCTTCCTGCCAGATCCAAGATGGGGAGAACCGGCAGGGCAAGGCACGGGTGTGGTGAAGGGTGGGGCGGCAGGCCTGGTTTTTTTCCATGGAATCTGCGGGATGGTCCTGCATGAAAGCTTTGCAAGTTGCTCTTCCATTAAGTCCAATACTGAAAATTACAAAAAGACATCGTAACACAACTGTTTTTACATTGTAATTAGTATAGAGTCATGCCAGTACGACACCCGTTCACATATTCCGACTTATGCTGCCAGGACATCAGATTGACAAATGGTTGTTTCTTGGGGACGTTCTCTCATTCTCAACCCTGAAGTTTCGAGCTACGAGGCATTGTGTCTTCACGACTACTTCCGTTGACCTGTCATTGAGCTGCAGGGACTGATGGGGGTTGATGTCTGTCAAGAAACAGGTGGAGCTCAAATGGATGGGCACCATGGATACCTTCAAGCTTTATGCCGGTATCGCTGTGAAGCTCGAATCGGAAGGCCACAAGGCTGGGTACGAAGATAAGCGGAGATGTTTTTATGGCAATGCTACAGCCCGAGACTTGCCATTTGCATGCGCAAATGCTTTTGTTTTCGTTTATTCTCTTTGTTTGTAGTTTAGCGGATGGGTGAGTTGTTCACGGCTTTGCCAAGCTGTGGGAATCATGTCGAGCTGTCCAGGCTTTGGTTCAAGCCTTCCGCGAGAGCAATGATGGACGGGCTTGATCATGGTTGATCCCATGCGTCTAACAGTAGTTCATAGTGGTTCATGCCTTTTTGAAAGTACTTTGGTTTGGAAGTTGGTGATTTCCGAAACGTTCTGGAGACAGCCATGAGGAGAGATTGATGTAGTCTTCCCAGTATGCCTTTCTTAAAAGACCACCCCCAAGCTACCAATTGTTGTTTGATACAAGGCAAGGATGCTAGGACGATATAAAGTAGTTTCTACTGACATGAAAAGAACCTTGCAATGCCATCATGACCAAACAGCAAAGGAGATGGGACGACTTTTTTCACTGGGTGACTGATCAGGGACCCTCCAGTTTAAAATTCCATGAGGGCCCCGGAGGTCTCCATTTCTGAATCGGAACAGCTCCCATGAAAATGGAGGTGTTTCAATCCAAATACCAAGACTCAGGAGGGCACTTTGGTGAGAACTAATGCACCCAGATCGCTGAGGTTGCCGGTTTCACTTTAGGTTTAGAGTTCGCAGAAATTCATCTGAAATCGCAGAAATGTGCCCTTCACTGACCATTTGAAGGGCGACTCTGTGGAATTCACGAGAGGAGTTTCGCCCTTCAGCATCAACGGCTCTTTGCCGCCGTGGCCTGAGAGCCGTTTCCGGCTTCACAAACGAGCATCGCTTCTAGGAGCAAAGGACACTAGGAACAAGTGCATCACTTCTTAGTAACAAGTGCCTTACTAGTAGTAACAAGGACGCTAGTAGAAACAAGTGCATCGCTTCTAGTAACAAGTGCCTTACTAGTAGTAACAAGGACGCTACTAGGGGCACCATTGGCAATTTCACAAACGAGTAACAACGCTCACAAAGCGGGCCATCGCAAGTAGGTTGGAGGCCATGGCTCCTAGGTTGAGGCCACCGCTGTTACTTTAGTGGCACTGATCTCCTAAAGTCTAGGCTGTGAGCGACGCAAGCTACACATGTTTTGTCAGTCTTGAGGTTAGTGAAGATGATGCAGAAGGTCCGTGGCCACAGTCAGCGCGACGCGCATGGTGTCAAAAGGAGGAGACATTTGTTCCTAGTAGCTTCTTGTTCCTAGTAGTACGGCCAGGAGCCCCTAGTAGCGTCCTTGCTCCTAGTAGCGATGCCAAAAGCCCCTGTAGCTTCTTGTTCCAAAAAAAGTTTTCCTATGTTTGTCAAGATTCCAAGGTTCTTGTAGCTTGTCATGGTTTCTTTTGACCTTTAGACAGTTTTCCATTGTCTTCTTTTTCTAGGCCTTTAGACCATGGTTTGGTTCTTTCTGTGGTTTTGGGCATGTTTTGACCTTGAGGCGTTATATTTTGTTGTGTGCTTTTCCTCTTCTTCCTTGTCAGGCTTTTAAGGCGTTTTAGTCATATTTTGTTTGTTTGTTTCTTTCTTTTGGGCCTTAGACCATGGTCTTATTTGTTCAACCTACAGATGTTGTTGTTCTTTTCTTTATTTATTTTAGACCTCATTATATAGACTTTTTTTTTCTATTCGATTTGAGGGTTCCTGTCAAAGTATTCACAATCCGTTGACAGCCGAGCCTGCCTAGTCTGGCTTCGACATCCAGCTTTGCGGCTTTGGAAAAATGGCAGTCTACCATGGTGTGAACGAGTGCGCTTCTGGATCGGGGCTCGGGAGGCCAGGGATGCTTTGCAGAACTGCAAGGAGAGGACTCCAACCCAATAGCAATGACCTCCAACCTACTATCGATGGCCTCCAACCCAAAAGCGATGGTCTTCAACCTACTAGCGACGGGCTCCAACCTACTAGCGATGGCCTCCAACCCAATAGCGATGGCCTCCAACCAAATATCCATGGCCTCCAACCTACTAGCAATGGTCTCCAACCTAATAGCCATGGCCTCCAACCTA